GCCCCCCCCGGGGGCTGAGCGCCGGTGGGGGGGGGGGGAGGGGCGCAGACAACACGTGGCCAGACGCTGAGTAGGAGGAGGGAGGGGTGGCATATGGTTGCATGCAGAATAGCGGCAGCCACCGCATATGAGCTTCCCCCACCCGGGTGGACAGCACCTGTGCAGCAGTGTGGGATGCTGCAAGGTGGCACTCCCACCCACCCATATGTAACCCCTAGGGCCTTCTCAAGTACCCCTGCTTGACAACCCCTGTTCTAGATAACTAGCCAATTGACCATCAAAAATGATGGGGTGTGGGCAGGGATGGAGCACCGCCACCCACCACCCTGTGCTGCTTCCACCTCCCAGGAGTGCAGGGGGGAAGGGGGAACCTTGCACGCGGCGGCTACCGCCACCACCATCTGCTCTGCGCTGCCACCACTCTTGTGTCCAGCTGCGTGCCACCTCCCCCCAACTTCATATCTGGTCACACACCCCTCTTACTCCCTCACCTCAGCCTCGCCCCCCCTCCAGCACGGGGCAATGGGGGGCCACTGCCACCCACCAACCCATGCTGCTGCCGCTCTGCATCTGGCTGCGTGCCACACCCCAACTCCATGTCTGGCCCTGTGCCACCCCCTGTGCCACTGCTCCACATCCGGCCCCACGCCACATCCCCCTGCTACTCCATCTCCAGCTACGCATCACCCATCTGCCCTCCCCCCCCATTTCCACATCCACCTGGCTGGGCTCCACCTGGCTTGCTCTGTTGGAGCCATGCCCCACCCATCATTTTTGATGGGCATTCTTGACGCAGCACTGGCTGGAGCCACGCCCTGCTGGGAGACACACCATCCAAGAACATTACGGACACTCAGACAGATGCATTAAGCCCTTTATGTACATATAGAATGCCCAACTAGAAGTATTTTTTCTAGGCCAGAATATCCACAAGTACAACTAATCTACCAGGAGACCTGGTGAAGCATATTCTTTTTAAGATGCCTTAGATTAGAGAAAGATGATATCTTAGAGAAATGGTTGGCAATGTTTTCTGGCTCCTTCTCCCTTCCACTTGGCTCTAGCACAGGTGAAGTCCCCAGCTTTCCAGCCATGGCATGTGCAAGCCCCTTGCTGCCAAATGCCACTAAAACCCCCTGCCTCATGCATTAGAGCCAATGGCTCCATTGGCCAGATCCAGCCCATGGGCTGTAAGTTGCCAAGCCCCATCTTAAAGGATGGGTGATTAGACAAAGTATTCTATAGTGGACAAGTCTCGCATGTTCTTTAAATATGCACATAACACCAGCTTCTAATGGAGATGTTGTCATTGTTAGCAATTTCCTGTATCTGTCACTGCCTTTATGTAGCAACCCAAATATGCGAATACTTTACTCAAAGTAGTTCACAAAAGCTACTGTGGACTAAGATTTAGGTATGCTCCAGTGGCAGGTCAAAGCAATGTTGCCTGGATTTCAAGTTACAGAAGAATCTGGAAACAAACTTAGCAAAGGGTGTGAAGACACTAAAATCTAACTAGATATTTGTTAAATAGTTCTACCATGTCAGGCAACATCTGAAAAATAAGCAGAAGGTAAGTCAACTATAACCTTTAACCCAAACTTCTAAAACAAACAAATAAAATGCTATATGCTATAACAAGACTCAAAAATACATGAACAATCTAATTCTTTTTTTGGTAGTTTCCTGTAGATTATCAGAAAGAAAGCTTGGTAGAACTCTTTTTCCCAACATGCCTTTATGGCAAGTGCCCTTTAAATTTGGCAGAGGTAAACATCTGCATCTCTTAAATGGCCATTTTCTAGGAGTGTGCTCCCCAGCCTAGGCTTGCGGCCAACAAGCTCCCCATGAGACCTGATGTTCACAGCCAAAGGAAATGTTGCTTTCCATAGATGCACATTTACTCACATTGATGTTGAAAGCAAAGCATGACCTTGCCTGGATTGCATTTCCATACTTTCTTGGTATTGTTTCCTCTAGGTTGGTGAAAGTTTGGGACCACTGCTCTAGGAGATAACTCCCTCTCTCCTTTCCAGCTGGTAAATACCTGTTTTTCTCTTTGTCTTGTTCAAGGGGTATATTACAGTCTCTCAGGTGGGCTTGGTTCTTTATGCTGATTTTTGTTATTTCCTGTCTCTCTCCAGATTTCAGAGGGAGGGTAGGATTCAGTTTTGAGCATTTGCTTTGAGTCCTCATTTAGTACATACTGGGTGCATCTACACAGGATATTAAAGTGAAGCAATAAACTCTGGCACATATCACACCATAGTTTATTGTTCCTGGGCACCATGTTTACATATACACCCAGGACTGCAGCACATTGAGCTGGGTTGGAGCAGCCCTGGCTAGCAAGGGTCTGGGGTGGTCAGCCTGCTAACCTGCGGCTGCTCCGACCCAGCTCAATACGCTGCGGAGGGGCTGGCTGGAACATGAGGGTGTTCCAGTGTAGGGCTACCTGGCAGGCAGGCCCTGCACTGAAGCACTTATGCCCCACCCAGCCCCATCAGCATTTATATGTACATTGCCGCACAGTAAAGAACGTCACTGCAGGGTAGTATTTCTATTTACAAGTACTAACCTATGGCAGAGTTACTTAGTTTACTGCAGCCTAATGGGGCCACACATGTAGATGTAGAGACTTTCCTGCAGAGCTAATTAGGCAGCTCTGCAGTAAACATTTTGTGTAGATGTGCCCATTAAATGTAAATAAGTCAATGTGAGCTTTGCTGAGTAAAAAAAATACAGCTGTATGCAGAGATGATCCTGGCAGGGTGCAGAGCCCAGGGCAAAGCAGCCCGTGCAGGGTCCCCCTCCCCAACCCACAGCACACTTACGCCAGGGAGTAAAAGCCCCAGCATACCAGACGTGGTGGGATGGGTGGCAGCCTGAACTTCCAGCCAGAACAAGCAAATAGCCATCCAACCCGCTGGGCAGCTGGGTGAGCTAAACTCTAGCCACGGCCTCTCTGCCTGGCTCTGCAGGGCCCCCCAGAGTGCGGGGCCCGGGGTGGTTGCACCAATTCTGCCCCCCACCAGGGATGGCCCTGGCTATATGGGGAAGGGATTATTTTTTCTTTGTTAACCAGGTCTTATTCAAGCAAAGACCTAAATTAAATCTGAGCTGCTGCTATAAATCAAGGGAAAACTAGATTTCCAGTGACCCATGACACAAGCATCACCTCCTAATGATCAAGGAGGTCCCATAACAAACCATTACTGTATACTAATAGCAATGTATAAATACAAGGCTTCGTTCTTACCCTAAATAATCAATTACAGAGACCAGTCATTTAAAATCTCAGAAACTTACAGGCAGGGTTACGAATCAGCTGAGTCATTTTTTTCTTTTGTTTGCACAGTGTTTGAGCCAAATCATGAACAAAGGCTCTGAAGGCAAGTCTACCTCTGGGTCAATTGTGAACACTGTTGCATAGCAAACTTCGATCTACAGAAAATTACGCTGCAAAGCAGTCACAAGACTTCTGGTGTAACCTGAAAGAACAGGAGAAGCAGGTTCTGCATGGCCTCTGGGGTTTTCACACCTCTTTAGTTGGTAAAGGATATTTGAAGCTGTCAATGCCATGTTCAAAATGTTAAACTTAAAGGAAATGGAGTTGTTACAGGGCTGCTAATGGCTGATTGTTCTGGAAATGGCTGATAGATCTAAAAGGAATATAGCTATAATCAGAAAAAACCTACAAACCTTATAGCTATGAACAGATCAATTACTACTGGTTTTTCCATAATGCTGTTACATGAGTCCCTTCTACTGAGAATGGTGGAAACTAAGTTCCCTTGAAGTTGATTTGCTCTCATCTTGTTGATAGTTTTGCCCAGGAAGAAGACTTGAGACTGTTTGTTGGGAAGACCATTGGGAATTACTGGCGGCTTCTTGAGGGCAAGACTTAGAGTTTTGGAGTCTTCTGGGTAACTGGCACGATGCCATCCCCGAAGAGGTTGATTGTCTGAGTAGGTGACCTAGATATTACCAAACAAAGTAGGCAAGGGTGTGTCTTGCATATGGTGACATGGGCTGACTCCCCTCACAGGCTCTAACATTTCTAATGTTTCAAAGAAGCAAGCATAAACTTCTGGTCTGAATCAACTTCCTTTGATCTAGAGAAGGACTCTTTCATTTGGTCAGTCTTGCCAGTGAGGCAGGGCAACAGCTATGTCCATGCACCAACATTTTGGTAGTATGCCTTTATGAAGGTAGTTCAGGTTAATTAACAACTTCATTATCCAGAAGGGCATTTATTGAGTCCCAGCTTCTTTAGGGAAAATGAAAGTTCTGCAAATCTGTAGTATCTTTTGCTTGAGGATCTCAAAGCAAACAAGTGTCCTTGGTGGGACAGGTAAATATTATCTCCATTTTTCAAATGGGAAAATACAGGCAATGATGAAGGCCTTAAATTTTAAAAAAGTGACCTGTAACATTTTGAGGAGGATATGATCTTAGACTTGACCTTTCTGCAGTGTCTGTTGACTTTAGTTGAAGATGCGCAGGTCAGTAGGGCTGCAGGTTCCCAGCAGCTATAAAATCCAGGTCAAAGATATTTAAACTCTGCCATCCAGAAACTGAAGCAGAGTTTTTAGTCTGATTCTGACAGTACCAGGAATTACACCATGGTGCTGGCTCCAAGTTTCGTTCTACAATGTGTAGGCCAAAGCAACCTCTCTCAATGGATGCCCCATATGACTCAGAAACATTACTGGCCACTATATTTCTGTTAATCATTTTAAGTGACTTTAATGCTCATTTCAACTGAAAGTTCTGGAGACCAGTGTGTTCTGGGATTAATAGAACAGATATATATTGGACAGCATTGTTCTACCAATGTACCTCACACCCTAATCGGAAGCATAACTGAAGGTAGGAGTTAAGGCAGAGGTGGGCAAAATACAGCACGCAGGCTGCATCTGGCCCGTGAGACCATTCTATCTGGCCCCGGGGCCCCTAAAAAAATTTAGAAAATTAAAATGTATCTGTCCTTGGTTCCTGTCAAAGATGACAGGCACCAGGGGCAGTAGGACCCAGGGGAAGCCTCGTGGGCTCCTGCAAGAGCAGGGCCCACCTAGCCTCTCCCCCTCAGCTGGGGCTTTTGGCCTGGGACCATGTGGCTGCCCCAGTGCGGGAAGCTCAGGTGGGGGGGAGGGCAGGGGACGAGCTGGTGCTGAGCGTGGGGGTAAAAGCAGCCCCTCCTCCACCCCATGGCTGGCGCTTCCTGCTGCAACCGCTCATAGCTCATGTGGGACTGTCCTGAGCAGGCACAGGCCACACCACGCAGGCTGCAAGTGGCTGCAGCGTGGGGTGCTGACCATGGGGCAGGTGAGGGGCTGCTTTTTCCCCACATTCAACACCAGCTTGTAAGCTGCCCCCGCTGCCAGCCTGGGCCCCGTGCTGCTCTGGGCTCACCCATTAGGGCTGTGCTGTGATGGCAGCAGTGGCGGCCCCCCCCCGACTTGCCATGCTGGGCAGTGTGGGCTGCTGCTGCCAGCCCAGAGCTCATGCACTGGGCAGCCCAGAGGCAGCGGTGGCAGCCTCACCACAGCCTACCGCGGCACGAGCTCTGGGCAGGCGGCAGCAGCAAACACTGACGGTGCGCCAAGTGGGGGTGCTGCAGCTGCTCCCATCATGGCGCAGCCCTGATGGGCAAGCCCAGAGCTGGCGCAGGGCCCAGGCTGGCAGCAGGGGTGGGTTACAAGCTGGTGTTGGGTGTGGGGGAAAAGCAGCCCCTCGCCTGCCCTGTGGCTGGCACCCCATGCTGCAGCCGCTTGCAGCCCATGTGGAGCTGCCTGTGCCTGCTCAGGACATCTCTGCACGGGCTGTGAGCAGCTACAGCAGGGAGTGCCAGCCACGGGGCAGGCAAGAGGCTGCTTTTCCTCTGCACTCAGCACCAGCTCCTTCCCTGCCGGTGAGCAGGGGTTTGGGGCTGCGCGCTGCCCCCTACCCCATACCACAGGGCTGAGGGGGCACTGGGAGTGAGCGGGTATGGGAGCAGGGCCCACACCCAAGTCCCAGGGCCAGTGCCAGCAGGGCCCAGAGCAGGGTGGCAGGGGTACAGGGTCCCAGCTGGAACCAGGCCAGCTCTCCGCTCTCCCTGCTGGTACAGCCCAGCCCAGCTCCACAGATCCCTGCCAGCCTGCGCCCCACTCTGGGCCCCACCAGCGCTGGCCCTGGAACATTGGTCCCAAGATGGTTGACCAGGGGGCGGGCACCTGTCAAGGGGTGGGACTACCCACGCAGCCCTCAACAGCTTGCCAAAACTGGGTAAATGGCCCTCCGCCTGAAATAATTGCCCACACTTGAGTTAAGGGTTTAAAAGATATTTTGTTCTCCCCTTGTGCTTCTATGCTATTTCTCACCCTTCTCACCACAGGTGCAGAACTAATACAGTTTTTATTGCTGGTTTCCCTCCCCATACATTCCCAAAACACTTCCCAGTTGCCTAACTGCTTGGAAGCCTAGAGTGTAGGAAGTATTTCATTCTCCAGACTCATTAAGCTCCTGGCCTCCTTTCAGCAGCTTAGCAATGGAAATTGACTTTCATTAGTAACTGAAGGGAAACAGATGATTTGTTTTTCACATAAATAGTGCCAATCAGATTCTTTGATCTCTTAAGTCTTTTCTATAAGAGTCTGTAGTTACTCAGCAGAAAGTTTGAGGCAGCTTGTTCTAGCTAGGAAAGATTGATAAGAAGATATTATCAAGTACATTGGGTGCAATGTCTCAGGTTACAGAGAGCTTTCCCTTTGTATTAAAGTGCTCAGGTAAGCCTTGTGATTCTTTGCATCTGGTCCACCTGAAAGTAACTAAGCCCCGTGTTCTGGTTTAGTCATATATGTTGGTTCTGTATCCTACCAAAAATGGGTTCATGTGGGCTTGTTTGTGTGTTAAGTGTTTAAAATGCTCGTCCGGACTTAAGAAGGGATTTGTTTATGAGCTCTTGAACTGTAAAACTACATATTCTCATTAAACAAAAACAGATCATACATTTCATAGTAAAGATGAGGGACACTTAAGAAGTTCAGGTCCCTGCTCTTTTATCTTCATTCTCTCTCTCAAGTAGATTTTTTTTTTTAGTAAAACACATTTATCAGTAGGGTTTTTCAATTTTTTTGTGGATTTTTTTTTAATACTAAAGCAACCATCATTGTCAACAGTCTGGCTACTGTCAAGAAAAGCTCTACAAGAGCAAGATAGTGTCCATGCAACAGTCTGATAAGACATGACAAAGAAGCAGCAAGTTTCAGTATCCTGTATCTGATGGTGTGTTATGAGCAACTGCAACACTGACATTTTGCAGACCGCTAACAAAAAATGTCTCCCAGGGTGGAACATGATGGTACTGTGCTTAAAGTTTTCTGCACTACTCGCAATAACCTCAGCTATCTGATATATCCATGAACATTTTAATGGGACACCAGGGCAGCTCCCTAGTCCCCAGGCTACAGTCTGCACAAGCACACACACTGACCTGGGAATCTGCATAGGTTGAGCCTTGGAGGACATCTGACCAAGAGCCAGGCTGCATCAGCACTGGAAATCCTCCCTTCTCTGAGCCCGATTTCCCTCTTTTATACCACTCCTGCAGACCTGGCATTGGCTGCAAGCATACTGGGATGGAGCCAGCACAGCCCAAGGATTCTTTTTAACCTCTTCCTCAACAGGGCAAGCCAGTCCATGCCATCACACACCCTCCCCCTCAAGACCCCTCTCAGGCTACTTCCCTCCCTGGATACATGCTCCTGCTCCTGTGGGGGGAAAAATCTGCATTGTGTGGGCCTTCCTGGTCCTATGATGGATTTGGAAGGAGAAGGGTTTCAGGACCAGGTACCACCACATAATTTGGGGATTTGTCTCCTTCATGGTATGTAATCAGTGGAGGGGCATATGGTCTGTGATCAAGGTGAAAATCCTGCCACACAGATAATATCCACCACCCATTTTACTGCCAGTGCTGATTTTCAATAACAGAGTAATTCTTCTCCCTTGGGAGTAGCTTCTAGTTCAACTAGAGGATGGGGTGTTCCTCCTCCTTCACTGTTTCAGACAACACTGCTGCCAGCCCCACACCAGAAGCATCTGTCTAGAATATAAACTCTTTTGAAAAGCTCATGTTATACAGGGCTGGTTCCTGGCATAGGCAAGCCTTCAACATTTGAAACAGTTGGGTGCATTCTCTGGTCCACTGTACCTTGTGTGGATGGGTGCCCTTCAGAAGGTCTGAGGAGGCTTGAAAAAATGCCTGTATAAACTGTCAGTAGTACCCAGCCAGTGCTAGAAACCAGCATACCTAGGTTTTGTGTTCTTATTATATATATGCGGTCAATATCTTGAAACAAGAGATGGAAAAGATTCCAGTCCTCTCATTAATTTGCATCCTTGTCCTCCAAAGCATAAAAGGATGAAAAATACCTTGGAAAAACCCTTTAAAAATATCTCTGTGTTTCTTCATTTGTCCAGGCAGTGATCATCATACCATGAATCATACTGGATAAGATTACCTGCCGTGCTAGAAAGACAGCATGCAAGTCATTCTCAGTCTATGTACTGCAGTGAACAGAGCACCCTCCCTCTCCTCCCTGAAATCTGACATCATGAAGCGGTTTTCTTTGTGTGTTCATCGAGAGCCTCCTTCTGCCAGTGCTGAATCCTTCTTGTGTGGTTCTGCAGTAGGTTTGGTTCACATATTACTTTCACCCATAAAATCTTAGAGCCAGTGAGCGTGCAGGTCAAATTATAGACCAATGTAAGTTGTGGCCTTATAGCTCCCATTAAATACATACAAAGAGGTATGTACATGATTTTTATTGTGTGGGAGCTGTGTGTTTCCTCTGCTTGAGAGTATTTGTTGGTGGTGGGTTTTTGTGGGGGGTTTTTTTCTCATTATTACTATTGTAGCATTAAAGAGAACTAGCAGCTGGAGAACTTACTGGGGCAGGGGATGGGGGTGAGTGGGGAGGGAGGGGTTTCTACATGCACAGAAAAGAGTCACTTTTTCTTCTGTTTAACTTAATGGAAGTTTGTTGTAGATTGTAGAACTTTCTCCCCATTCAGCTTTATCCTTCAACATCTCTTATTGCTATCTCTCCCAACAAACCACCAAGGTGCCCCACAGTCACCCCCATTGCACAAGTCATATATGGATTGGATGCATTTCAGTTTTGACCTACAGTTTCTTTCCTCCAGCTCCAGTCCTATTCCTGCTCATCCCAGTTCTGCCAGTCTCTGTTTCTCTGGCCTATAGCATGTCCTACTTTTTGTCCAGCAACTCTCCCAACCAGCAAGCAGTATACAGGTAGCAACTAACTTTCCAAATCAAATTACTTTTAAATGCAGAAAACCCCACCTAGATAAATGTTCTCTTTGCTGCATTACAATTTTACCACATAAAGAAGTGGGGAGGCCTTTTGTCTAGATCAGAAGTATGATAAAAATTGTATGCTTTATCCCTACTGCTATGGAGCTAAATCATATGCTTTATATCTAACTGCTATTTTTACTGGTGTATCATTTTGCTCCACTAGATATATAGTATTACAAATGAAGATGGGTTGGTTTTAGGGGACTGGAATTTTTTACTCATCTTTCCTGTTTCCAGGCTACAGGAGACTCACAGCAATAGAGCTACAAGGACTGTAAGTGAAGGCAGAATTTGGTCCATAGTCTTGAATAAGGATTCATACAAGATGCATCCAGGTGCTGTATGCTACGTACAAATTTGTTAAATCTTATCATATGAGTAGCTGATGCAACTAGTAAACTAATTAAAACCAATTTAGTTTAGGAAAAATTCTGCTTGAATATTGAATAATGTGTCTAACTGGTCTTTTCATTCCTCTCCTAGTACTAATTTATGTGTGTTACACTAGCACCTAGAGGCCCCTTTATGCTAAACTAGCCAACTGCCTGTCAAGAATGATTGGGGGGGGAGACAGGGGCCCATGTCCCCCCCTCCCTACCCCTCATCGGGTCTGGCCCTGTGCCCCCACCCCCTCTCCCAAGTCCAGACCCATTTCCCTGCTCCACACCTTCGGATTTGGGCCCATTCCCACCCCCTCCCCACTTTGGTTCCAGCGCCGCTCTCCCCACTCCCATGCTCCAGGTCCTCCCGGCCCACGTCCACCTGCCTCCACTTCCTGCTTCCCTCCCTCCATCCCAGCTGTTGGGAGGGCCCTGCAGCAGGGTGCAGTTACCGTACCCCCTCTCCTCCTCCCTGCCGGCTTTTGTCTGGGCCCGGCAGTGGCGGGGCAGCAGCAGTGTGCCACATCCAGCCCTGCCCCCACTTCTTGTCTGGTGAGGGGAGGGGACAAACGGGTCTGCTCCCCCCCACCCTCACCCCAGCCAGTTCAGGGCTGAACCCACTCCCGCCCCCCTTCAGGGCTGTTGTTGGGGTGCAGCAGCAGCAGCAGAGTCCTGCCACCATGCCCCCACAACTTCCCTTCCTCCTCCCCCTCCCTGTCAGCTTTTGTCAGGCCCTGGCAGCTCCACATCCCTCCACATCCCCCCATATCCGGCCCTGCCCTGCTTCTCATCCAGCCAGGGAGAAACGGGCCTGTTCCCCCCACTCCATCGCCGCTGCCTGCAGGGAGTGAGCCCTCCCCCACTCCGCCCCCTGTGTCCCTGCCATCTCCTGTCCGAATGTTTTTGGAGCACTCTGATTAGTTGTTTCAGTCAGCCAATCATAGTGCAAATAAAGCCTTACAGGCAGACAAACTAAGACTTTTATAATATTAGAATGGTGTACTTGCATCATATCCACGTTAACAAGATAACCCCTTTTCCAAAGAGTATATAGCTTTGTCCAACTACAAAATGAGACAATAGGTGGATATGACAGATGGGGGACAGCAAGGTAACAGTAAGATAATTATGATCAGAGTAATAAACAGCAGTTGCTGCAGACATTACATGACAAATTTGCATGAAAATTGATCTTTGCTCATGAAGAGTTCATTGGTTCCTGCTGTTCTCACCAAAAATACAGTCCTTTGTTTGACATCACACTTGGTTGCTATAGAAATGCTGATGATACCAGAGACAGGACTGAGCTGGAGGCCTCTAGAAAGTCCTTGAGACCCATCTGAGTCCATATGCATTCACAAAAGGTCAATGTAGCATTTATTTTAGGCACTAGCACCAGGATTAATGGGGTGAGAGAGAATGCAGCACCAGTTCCAGCTACGGGCATTTGGAACAGAATGCAGTGCTTTGTCAGTATCGCTCTCATGGTTAAAGAAAAATACATAAGAAGGAGGAAATATGGGAAGCAGAACATTTCAGTTCCTAATAGATGCATCTGCAGTGTGATGCAGCTGCACAAAAGGTGAATGCAGTTTTGGGATGCATCAATAGAAGCATTAGGTGCAAGACACAGAAGGTCATAATGACTATCTACTCAGCACTGCTTAGGCCTTATCTAGAGTACTGGGTGCAGTTTTAGGTTCCATGTTTTAAAAAGGACATGGAGAAGTTAGAGAGGATCTAGAGGCAGGTGACAAAAATGATAAGGGGCTTGGAAGTCAAGACATATAAGGACAGGGTGAAGGAGGTAGACATCTTCAGTTTGAGGAAAAGGTACTAAGAGGGGACATGATAACAGTCTTCACTATACCTAAAAGACTGCCATAATGAAGAAGGAAAACACCTTTTCTCTCTTGGTGAAGCAGTTGACATCATATACTTCAACTTCCAGAAAGCCTTTGACCTGGTATCCCATGAGGTACTGATCAGAAAACTGGAAGATATTGGGCTCAACTGCGGGACCATCCAGTGGGTGCGAAACTGGTTGCAAGGTAGGACACAGAGAGTCCAAATGAATGGATCGGGGTCATCCTGGTGAGATGTGGGCACCAGCATACCCCAGGGGTTGGTACTTGGCCCAATGCTGTTCAATATCTTCATGAACGACCTGGATGAGGGTGTGAAAAGCCCATTGGCCAAGTTTGCGGACGACACCAAGATATGGGGTTGTGCGGACACAAGAGACCTAGACAGGCTGGCATGTTGGGCAGAATGGAACCAGATGAGGTTCAACATAGAGAAATGCAAAGTGTTGCATCTGGGAAGGAAGGACCCCCAGCAAACCTACAGGGTGGACATCGCTAACCTGACCAGCACTACAAATGAAAGGGATCTGGGAGTAACAATAGACCCCAGAATTAATATGAGCTGGCAATACGACACAGTAGCCGCTAGGACCAATAAAACTCTGGCATGCATCAATTGATGCATCTCCAGTAAATCCAAAGAAGTGATTCTCTTGCTTTACTGAACATTGGTGTAACCATAGCTGGAGTATTGCGTCCAGTTTTGGGTGCTGCACTTCAACAAGGATGTGCTAAAGCTCGAGAGGGTCCAGAGAACGGCCACCCCTATGATCAGGAACTTGCATGGCAAGCCATACGAGGAGAGGCTGAGGGATCTCAGATTCTTCAGCCTAAAGAAAAGAAGGCTGAGAGAAGGACCTGATTGTGGCTTACCGCTATATCAGAGGTGTACATGAGGGGCTTGGTGAACAACTGTTCACCAGGGCGCCTGGGGAAAAACTAGAAACAACGGCCACAAACTCCTGGAAGATAGTTTCAGGATGAACATTAGGAAAAACTTCACAACTAGGGTGTCCAGACTATAGAACAAGCTCCCTCTAGAGGTGGTGCAATCATCTACCCTAGAGGTCTTCAAGAGAAGACTGGATGGTCACCTGGCTGGGGTCACCTGCCCCCAGATATTTTTCCTGCTCATGCAGGGGGGCTGGACCCGATGATCCTTCAGGTTCCCTTCCAGCCCTTTGGTTCTATGATTGTATGAAGAGAGTAGGACATAGATCAGTGGCTTGAAGTTGCAGCAAAGTATGTTTAGATTGGATATCCAGAAAAACTTCTTCACCGCTACCATAGTAAGGCAGTGGAACTAACTGCCTAGG